GTATCCTCGTAATAAGTGCATAATATATTTTAATTGTTAATTACATGCACTAAACTACTACGAAATTGCAACTTTAATAGCTGTTGCTAACAAATGAAAAAGCTGTTTTCTGAATTTGAACTGAAAACTTGCACAATCTAAAGACAAAGTTCGGCACAGATACAATATAATTAGAATAACTCTGTTGTTCTATCTGCTATGTTGAAATCTGTTGTTTTTATTTATTTATAGAAACACTGAACCGCAATTTCGTTGTACCAAAAACGAAACTTCCTCAATTCGTAGAATTGAAGTGAGTGAGGGGGTGGGTATGTGCGTGGGTGGTTGGGTTTTTTTGCTTTGAATGATGGATGTATGATTTTAAGTCAAACCAATTCATAAAATGTGATTGTTTTTCATCTCTTATATTAGATATTTGTAGCTTCATGATTATTGGAATAAAAACAGGCAGCATAAATTTGCAAAGCTAATTGTCATATTAATTTATAGTGAAAATTGATTTTAAGAAAAGGTCAAATAACTCGCTTTCTTGCTTACGAGTATGTTGTAGCTTAACATGACCTTTCAACCTGTGACTACACAATAAGATGGGAGGCTATGTTAAATTGTTTGTTGATTTACCCTTTTGTGACTTCTTCTTGAAAACCACAACTATATGTACCTTGGGTAAACCTCTCTTAGATTTGTTCATTAAGTGATGACATCTTAAATTCTATAATTCTGATGAATATTCTTTTCATTTTTGGTAAAAAGTGATATTTTTGACTTTTTCTTGAAAATCGCAAGTCCGATGGCTTTGATACTATACAGATAGGTACCAGATTTGTTCATTTCATGACGATATTTTCAATCCTCTAATTGAACTGTGCATTGCTAAAAGAGAGGCTGCATGTTTTTATTGAAATTGTTGGCAATACACACTGGGTACAAAAATTACATTTGAAAATGGTTATATGCACTTTCTGTTCCCACCAGATGTTGTAGTAGAAGTATTTGCAATGTAGAAATTGTAGAATTTGTCAGACAATAATGATAGCAAAAGAAAGATCAACCTGATTCTAAGATTATTTTCCCTGCCTATCTTTGTTTTCTTGTTTTGTTGGGCACAATCTACAATCTAATTAATTGTATTTTCCAGTTCTGCCTTACATCTTGACGCCAATTGGTATAGTGGTCTTTTTGGTTCTACTGGGAGTTGTGATAAAACTATTTTGTATATATGCAAAGAAAAAGGAAATTGATTATCAAGTTCCAAAGTTAGACCATACCTGGAAGGAAATGCCGGTAAGACGATTATGGTTGTAACTTGTTTTAGTGTTTTTACCACCAGTCTTTCTCCAACATTTTTCTGCTTTTTTTTTTTTTAAATATTTCTGGTAATGAACCCTAATTTTGTAGCCAACAGACAAAATTCGAGTTAATTTTCGTTTTTTACTCTAAACATTTGGCTATTTTTGTCCAAATATTCTGAAGGAAAGTGCAGAATATAAAAGGGAATATTTTGTGAATTTGTTATGAAAAGAGGGAACTGGTTGTGAAAAGGTTAGTGTTTTTACTCTGACAGGAAATAATATAGAGGAAATAAAAATTTATTATAAATATTTGTAAATACAATAATTGAATCAAAAGCTAGTAGTGAGTGCAGTTGCACCACTGTGAGTATTCTTTGATAACTTGTATTGTTAATTGGCGTTCATGCGAATGTGCATATGAATGATTGGTGTCATAGCACGTTCAAATGCCAAGTGATGATACAACACAAACAAACACAAAATATTTGCCTTTGGCTGTATAGACTGACACACTGTGATGTAATATTTGCCACCCAGCATGCACCTTTCTGGCACATTTGCTCTAACATTGCCCATAAGTTATTTTATTAACATATTCTTTCACCTTCGTATTGGAACAACCATTTACTGCCCGTAAGGTAAACCTGGGCCATCTCTTATTACCGATAACAAATGTTAAATATGATGATGTGCAGTATTTTATTAATAGTCAGAAAAGACATTTACATTTACATACAATTTAAATCAAGTACTTTCAAACAAGGACATACAACAAAGAAATAATAAAAATTACTTGAATTACTGATTTCATTCACTTTGCACACAAATAATTTCATACAAGTGCACATAATGCAATTTAAGATGGCTGAAAGGCGGCCATTTTAGTTCTAAAAATTCATCAAAATCAGTCATGTATGAACATATTCCATCAGATTGAAAATGGCCGACTGGCATCCATATTGCATAATGCAGTTCCAGGGTCATATCTCTGACATGTTTTAACTGATCATATTCAAGCTTTACATATACATCACACATCATGTAATATATAAGCACATGTATTTGTTTCATGAGCCATTTCAAGATGGCTGAATGCGGCCATTTTAGTTCTAAAAATTTATCAAAATAGTGCATTTTTGCCATTCTAGAACCGGATCTCAGTGATGCATGGACATATTTCATTCAAACTTAGTATGTCAATTGAACGTATTGGGTCTTTGATGCACATCATATTTTTCAGATCAGATTGAAAACGGTCGACTGGTGGTCATTTTGTTTTTAACAAATGCAGTTCCAGGGTCATATTTCTAACATACATTAACCAATCACATTGAGACTTGCATACATTCACACTTCACATCATGCATAAGCACATGCTTTTGTTTCATGATCCAGTTCAAGATGGGTAAATAGACATTAATCTGGTCACATGACCTGTGATTTGCATCTCCCATTTGATTGCATATTTTGTGATCAGATAAAAAACAACAGACCTGCAGCGCTCTTGCTTTTTGGACATATTACTCTATCATAGGCATGAATAACATTTTCCCTATTTGCAACAGGGTACTGTTGTAATTCAACCAAATATCATTTTGAATAACATGTTATATAATGCATTTCATGTGTGTTAAATTCTATATTGAGAGAGAACTCGGCAATTTTCCTTACAAATACAAATATTGATTGATTTTCAGGCTTTTCAAGCAACTGAAGAGTTCTGTGAAGGTGGTTATGATACTGTTGGCAATCAGACAACCCAACTGGATACTAACCAGAACCAGGAAAATAAGGATCCAGATATCATCAGTAACCAGTCTGATCCAGGTTTTGATATAAATCAGGAAAAAGGCTTAATTGTCGATCTGGAATGTAACATAAAGCATGCTGCAATAGAATCTGATGATGAGACGGTGCCTCTTACTGTTAGTCTGCCAAACTCTGGTTCTTCAGGAATTGAAGATGAGTACGCCAAAATGACAGGCATCTCAGATGGAACTATGTGTCTAAAAGTTGTACTGCCATCACAGTCATCACCTGTATCCAAGCAACAGAGGAAAAATGAAATAGATAATGCTGAAATGTTACCGCATATGAGTAATATACAACTGTTGAACGTGACAGCACCAAACTTTTCGCCTCATGTGACAGATTTTAGTGTCAGCGACAGCGAGAATTATGTTAAGACATGTCTTGGAGATGACAGCTCACAGGAATCCACAGAAAAACATGGGTGTGGGACAAATCAAGATGATGGAGAAACGAGTGGCATGGCACGTTTTTATGACGAATCTGATGAAGACTGTTGCGAGAATGAACTCGATAACCCTGTACTGCAAAGCATTTTGGGAACACATGAAATTGACTCTCTGGCAGATGCACCATGGGAAACAGACAAGCCGCTATCAGAACCTGTAGCAGATGTATTGAATGTTAGTTTCTCAAATCTGCCTACTGTGTTTGGTATTCATAGCGATGACGAGGAACAGCGAGATAGTGATGCGATAGAGAAATGCCCGCTTGTTTCTTCCTCAGTTGATGGTGACTATTTTCCCAATTCCGAGACTTTTAATATGCTTCAAACATCATCAGTGTGATATAAAACAGTCTTGTCACATGGTCTAAACTGGAGACTGACCAGTATACTATTTACCAGTGAAAGTGTCAAGGTCACATTGTATTGCAATAATGAATCTGGTGACAATAAATCCTTCTTGTGATAATGATGAAAAACAATTAGATTTTTTCTACAGTTACTACGATGATTATTGACACTGTTTCTATAGTTACTAGGATGATTATTGACACTGTTTCTATAGTTACCGTACTAGGACGATTGAGATTGAAGCTTTCTACAGTTACTATCATGGTGATGGAAATTCTATTTTATTTCAAGAAAAAGAGCCATTAGTCCACGGTACTATTCCAGAACATTTTTGAGAAAGTTGGTCATAAATCGCATGATCATATTCATTGGTTTATTATGTAAAATCATGAAGCCATTGTCTCATGGCACCATAAAATAGCATTTATTTGTGTGTTACAGTAACATATTTTGAGAAACTGAATATTTTTCTAAAAATCGCTATTTTTAAAACAGTTCCATGGAACAAAATATTAACGAAAATTTGTGTATTTTAACACTTTTTAAAACCCACATTTTTAAAATAATTCAGGACAATGAAAAGTATCCTAGGCTATTATTCTCAATATATGATATATGATGTCACCAGATTACAATTTGAGATATTGCATAATATCTCTGCCTTAGGAACCTATGGTAAAAGCACCATAATATACTTAACAAAATGGCTACTATCCACTAAAATACATTCCCAATTTTTTCAAAAATTTGGATAATGATCCCAACTTTTTTAGCATCGCTGTTGACTTTGTCGAGCAAAGCTTATCATATGATTGAATGTCCGTCCGTCTGCGTCTGTCGTCCGCCATCTGCGTCATTTTTTTTTACTTTTTCGACTTCTTCTTGAAAACTACAAGCCTGATTGCTTTGATACCTTGGGCAGACCTCTCTTAGATTTGTTCATTTCGTGATGATATCTTTCTAATTTTGATGAATATTTTTGGTAAAAAGTGATATTTTCGACTTCTTGTTGAAAACCACAAGTTTGATTGCTTTGATACTATACATATAGGCACCTCATGTAGACTTCTCTCAGATTTGTTCATTTTCTAATAATTTCTTTAATTGGAACATGCACTGTTAACAGCAGAGCTATCTCAGCCGAGAGGCTGTTTATTTAAATCTAAATATTACCATGGAGTACAATTTATTGCAAAATGGATAAATTTGGATATTTTTATTAATGAGGGTTTTACCTTAACATCTTAATACTAGTAGCAACGAACATTTAAAAAAATGTTATATTGTTTTAATACTTGAAAGGACTTGATATGTACAAAAACTATATCTGAACCCAACTTATTTCACACATGCCAGTAGAAATAATGGGGTAGGCCAGTGAATCTGAATTATACACACACACACACACACACAAAAAAAGCATATCCCTCTATGAATCAAATTGGTAACATGTTGCCTTTCTTATGTTAAAAAAAACATAGTAATATAAAAAAACTCTCTCCGATGTATTGGCCCACTCTAGATATTCAAGTGCCATCCATCGCAAAGGAGCTTTTAAAGTTTAAAGGTCAGTTTGAATTTGACGTTGAATGCAATAAACAAAATTTTCTCCCAATGATGAGCTCCTAAACAAAAATAGATAATTCTGTTTATTGTAGTTTATGGTATCACAACAATTACTATTAAGTTCAACAAAATAGGTCTAATTACTGCTTAACATACAAAAATCAGTGTTTGTTACACATCCTTTGCCACACAAAACTAGCACTGGACATAGTGAACATCAGCAGGGACAACACATGTACAACTCACACACAGTGACTTGCTTCTGGATATTCTGTGGTTTATACCATATTTTTTTAATTCCAGGGGGGTCAACTGATTGGCTATAGTAAAACCCACTTTGCCTAACTTTGCCTAAAAAATATTGTAAGTAATTTGAGTGAGGATTTAATGTCAATTATTACAGTTTTATGGAAGTTTTTACAATTGCTAATAATTTGTGTATAGAATGCTATACAAGATCATATGTTTACTTTTCTCAGATTATGAAATTAACACATGAATATCTATGGAGAGTAAAATTATGAAAATATTTTACTTTTTATTAAACAATGTGTCATACATTTAAAACAAATTAAAAAAGGGTCACCAACCGATTTGTGAAGATATGATAGATTGGGTAGTTTGATGCTAATACATGGGTGTTCTGTGTGACCACTTCAAACCCATTACACGATTAACACATCGCATGCAGACTTGTCAGCAAGGAAATTTAACATAGACTATGTTTATTCTTGAACTGAACATTCAAAAATAAGGCCTAAGTTAAACAGATGAATTAATTGAACCATGCTAAAAGCAAAATTAAAGCTGTGTTGATCAAACTTAACTTGAAAAAATAAGGCCTAAGTTAAACAGATGAATTAATTGAACCATGCTAAAAGCAAAATTAAAGCTGTGTTGATCAAACTTAACTTGAAAAAATAAGGCCTAAGTTAAACAGATGAATTAATTGAACCATGCTAAAAGCAAAATTAAAGCTGTGTTGATCAAACTTAACTTGAAAAAAAAAATTGCCTGCAATTTATGTAGGTACTTCTCTGCATTACTTTGTTATTCTCGTTCCATTCTCTAGTACTGGTATGTTATCTCAGGAGAGTGCATCTACAGCGCCCTCATGCATCAAACATATGTATACTTTTGTTTTTATTGTGTATTGTGAGTACAGTCAATGATGTATATAATTAATGTTTTAATGAAGTAATTTATTAATTATTCATATCTTTTATTCAATGAGGCCAGTAAAATGTTTTATATCACACGTTTCTATGAATATGGAGTTACATATTTTAATGCACCTTTTTGCCATCATACCAACAGATGTGTACAAAATTTTCAAGAACCTTATTTCATGTTCAAATATATTACATGAATCACAGTACTTTGTAGACAGTTTTCAGGAAATGTTAAGTTGGAGACAGATGAAATGAGATACTTTGAATCATTTTTAATAGGATTTTTTTCACATTGACTAGTTCGGAAAGTATACAATTATGTATATAACTGTCACTAGTGATATTACATTTATGTATATTATTTTAGTATAGCCAACAAGATCATATTGTAAAAGGGTTAATTATTCACTGGGTTTTAATTTTGCTTATTTCACTGACTGGAAAATGCAATAAATTAAAACCCAGTGAATATGACAAATTTAGCATAGAACATATTATCTAAATGATATAACCGTGAATTTAAAACCCACTGAATATGCCTGAAATTGGTAAATCAGTGAAATTTAAACCCAGTGAAAATTAATCATTTTACAGCAGTCATCAAATGTTTGCTGTCTACGCAACTAATCAGGTAAAAATGCATGTTATTCATATTGAGTAGATGTCTTTTAGGAAATAATGTAGGACACTATATATTATCCAGTATGCCTATTTCTGTCACACAGAACTTGGGTCACGGTATATGTATAACAAATTCAAATCTGAAGTTCAAAAATGTTTGTATTTACATATGTCCAAAAGACCTTAATTTGTTGTGTAATATACTGTAGAATACTATATTTTTGTTTGGAATTCATTTTCACTGAAGGGAAGATTCCGTGAAAATAAAATCCAGCGAATATACTTTTTTTTCCTATATTTCACATTAATCTCATCAAAAATCAGTGAAAATAAACTCAAAGCAAAACGCCCAAAAAGCCTTTTCAGCAAAAATTTATTCCAGCGAAGATAAAGTATTCAACAGTATTCTATATGGTCGAATCACAGTGAGTAAATTTAGTAATTATATTTTTAAACTCAATACTTATTCTAATTATCATGTTAATATTTAACGTGAAAAAAATTGTATTGTCGTGCAAATAATAGTCATAATATGGTCATAATAGTTTATATGATTGATGTTGCGTAGTATAATTACAGTTACGTTGTTTTTACAATATATATATATAGTTTTTGTTATTGTTGTATAATGTTTAACATGTTTAACTGCCACAAGGTGTATGAAATGTTGTCTATATTTTTTGCAGTTGTAATTTTCAGTGGATTGCAGATGAGTTAAACTCAGACACCATGTCAGAGTATTGTTGTGTGAAGAGGGGTACACCATCTAGGTCCTATCATGCTAAAATTCCCGAAATTACGGGAAGATTGAGCACCTAGCTCGATAAATGCAAACCTATACTACTAACGTTGGACACCCTTCTTAAATACACCTTACTTCACTGACATAACGGAAAACAAATTTAAATTGATGGGCATTTTCTAATTCCGACCTCGGTTGTAATATGAATACAATTTTTATATTTTTCAAAGTTTAGTTTTTCTTAACTTTTCTTCACTAGGATGATGAAAATTAATTAAAAAAAATTTTGTTTAAGAAAAGCAGTTGTTTTTTTCCCTAATTTAGACAATATTAATGTTTGTTTCTATTTTATTTTTCTTCTTTGGCTTAACACTTGAATACCATTGATACAAATTAGAAAATGTAATATTTGTAGTTACAATAATATTGAGTACAGTAGTTTTAAATGAGCCAATCAGTGTTCACTCAGTAAATCACATGATCATTTAATGATTCTAATTGTCTGATTGAGAAAGACACAGTGTAACTAATTATTGCATTGCTGATGGCCAGTATACCATCTTACATGATAGACAGGGACCATTTGTAGATAAGTGCATTATTGCAATTTTTAGTCTTTGTACTGAATGAAACAATACCGACTAACACAAATGCTACCATTATTGCTATTCATGTTTTTCTGAAACTAATTCCTCCAGTCAGCCTTTGACCAGCTTTAATATTCTCTCGAATAATCTCAAAGATTATGTTATATAGATATATATATATTTGTGAAAAATGAAATGGTTTGATATATTACATCACTTGCCTTAAAATGTTTTGTTCTTTTTGGAGTTCAGTTACATTGGTTGATCAAACTATTTACGTAATATTGAAATTAATATTGACTAC